AAAAAAAAAAAAAAAAAAAACCCCAGAATTTGTTCATCACTCCCTATAAATGTTGTTGCCCTGCCGTTCACTCATCTCCCACAGACAGCTACCATAAAAATTAATACCACGCCAGAACCAGCCAATCTGCCATGGAAAATGCCCAAGAGCCACGGCTCCAAGTAGCCATGGTTCCCACTCCGGGCATGGGTCACCTGATCCCACTCGTTGAGTTAGCCAAGCGACTCGTTCACCATTACAAGTTTGCTGTAACCTTCTTTGTACCCAGTGATGGCTCCTCTATGAAACCCCAAAAGCAACTCCTTCAGTCTCTCCCCAACTCCATTTCCACCATCTTTCTCCCTCCTGTGAGCTTCGATAACCTCCCAGAGGATGTCAAGGTCGAGACAAGGATCGCTCTGAGTCTCAGGCGCTCCATCCCAAATCTAAGAGACTCCTTCAAGGCCTTGACCGAGTCAACTCGGGTGGTGGCCATGGTGGTTGACTTATTCGGCATAGACGCATTTGATGTAGCTAGAGAATTCGGCATCAAGCCATACATTCTCTTCCCAAGCACCGCCATGGTGTTGTCTCTAATCTTTCATATACCCAAGCTTGATGAAATGTTTGCCGACGAGTATAGGTATTTGCCTGAACCGGTCAAGTTACCAGGGTGCGTCCCGGTTCAAGGGATCGATCTGGCAGACCCGATTCAAGATAGGAAGAATATAGCCTACCAAGCGGTTCTCAGCATTTGCAAGGGTCACCCATTGGCTGCTGGGATCATGGTTAATAGCTTCATGGACTTGGAACCGGGTGCTTTCAAGGCTTTGATGGATCCAACGTCGAATCTACCACCGATTTGCCCCGTTGGACCACTGGTACAAACCGGTTCAGTACGCCAAGTTGAAGGGTTTAATAATAATAATTGTCTGAAGTGGCTGGATGAACAGCCTAGTGGGTCGGTTCTCTACGTTTGTTTCGGAAGCGGGGGTACTCTTTCTCAGGACCAGGTAAATGAATTGGCGATAGGCCTGGAAACGAGCAGACAAAGGTTTTTGTGGGTCGTAAAAAGCCCACATGACAAAGCTACAAACGCCACTTACTTCGGCGTGGAAAGTATTGGAGACCCTTTTGATTTTTTGCCTAATGGATTCCTGGAAAGGACTAAAGGCGTTGGCCTGGTGGTCCCATCTTGGGCCCCTCAGGCTCAAATACTGCGCCATGGCTCGACTGGAGGTTTCGTGACTCACTGCGGCTGGAACTCGATCTTGGAGAGCATTGTGCATGGGGTGCCGTTGATTGCTTGGCCTCTCTACGCTGAGCAGAGAATGAATGCAGTGCTCTTAGCCGATGATTTACAGGTGGCATTGAGGGTTAAAGCGAAAGAAAACGGTGTCGTTGGTCGAGAAGATATTGCCGAATATGCCAAGGGGCTGATTGAGGGTGAAGAAGGTAAGTTGCTCAGAAACAGGATGCAGAAATTGAAGGATGCAGCTAAAAATGTTTTGAGCCCAGATGGATCATCCACAAAATCACTGGCCAAAATGGTAGAAATCTGGAAGAACCAATAAAAAAAACTGACTATGTTGAAAATTGGTAATTAATAATGGTACGCGCGTGTTGTAACTTGGAAGCCTTTTATCTTTGTTGTTCTCAAGAGTTCATTCCAATAATTAAGAATTTGAATTATTTCGATTTCAAGTAGTGTTATTTAACCAAGTGCAATATAAAAGATATATTTGATGTTTCTGATTGGAGATCAAGAGGGCACCAGCATTGTTAGTTTGTTACTGTCTATCACTTAATCCCGACCTTACCCTTAGTCACAGTGGCACAATGGAACACAAGGTTAACCCGACGAAAAAACATGGTGGCAAGAGATTTTTTTTTTTTTTTTTTCTGGGCTATAGCCCGGAATCCAGAGGATACGAATATGATGACCTGTTTTTCTGCCAATGGGCCAATCGGATGACCATTTTTTAAAGCCCAGTATAGGAGCATAGGTTAGGCCACTTAGCGTAAGATGCAGCAGCCCAGACCAGTAGATAGGCTTTTTAAGTTTTGGACTTTTCCCAATGACCGTACGACCGTACAGAGGAAGACGACAATGCTGGATCTTGGAATCCGTCATGGAAGTGAACGAAAATGGAGAAGCCCGGCGGCGACACGGGATAGAGGCACGACGTCCTCTTCCAGTAAATACTGCCGAGAAAGATTGGCCGCCGCTGGATCCGTCGACGGCTCGTCCTCTTCCTCCCTCACGTGCTCCGAATTCAAAGATCCACAAATTCCCCCCTTTTCTTCGTAAATTGTGCATATTTTCATGTCTAATTCGCACGATTAATTCGATTCAGAAACATATGTCTGACGTTGTAAAGATCGTGTAGATTCCTCCTGAATATGGCGACACGCATTTGTGGGACGAGGTATGTATTCCTTTGGGCAACTGCTGTTATAATTTAGTTTGAGTTTGGATGTCAAGCAATTCAGATTCAATCATTATGTTTCGTTGTAGAAAGAAATTCTTACATTAACACCAACAATATTGCACTCCACTAATATAAAGTCTGAAATTTGTTAGCAACTTCTCCTGAATGCTAAATGCTAATACTACCTATCATTACTTGTATTTCTAATGAACAACAGGATTAGGAGAAAAATCCTGGAGTATCAAATGGGAAGTTTGGATCAAATTCCACTGGATCAACTGAGAAATCCAAGTAATCTATAATGGGGGAATTGGTGGCCGAAGTGTTTGCTGAAATCAGCCCTGTGAGATCAGATTCAGAACCTTGTGCATGGAAAGCACCTCCGAAGTTGTTCCTTTGGGAATGGGAAGCTGAAAAGGGGTTTAATTCTGGTGTTGCTGGATTCACAAATGAGGGTGAGAAACTGCTGAAGTTATCTTGTGCTGGAGGTGAAAAATTAATGTCACCACCACTCTTCATGTACCCCAATGATGTTGAAGGGAAAGAGAATCCAGGTGCCATCTCTTTGTTGTCCAGGCCCTCAGTATGGACCATTAGATTTTTTCTAAGATTTAAGAGCATTTCTAGTTGATTATTGTTGTTGATATTATCATGGTTGTTTAGATTCTGCTCTTGTTTTTCTGGTGATGCAGGTGGTGGAACTGCCTGGTTGCCAAGGCTACATGTGTGTTGCCCTCTGTATGTGATCTCAAATACGGTGGGATCTTCATCTGATCTCTGCACTTGCTTTGCAGCCCAGCAGTTCTGACTGTGTCTGAAGGTGCATCTGTAGTAGCTCCTGAAATTGTAAGCACTCTCTCGTTACATCTTTATCACGGGAAAAAGAAGTATAAATAATGACATATGACTTTGAAGCAGTAAAAAATAAATAACTTCTTACCTAGGATATCTTGATCCAAGAATGTCTTTCTGCCCATATTTTCTCCAGCTGTAGCCGTCATCATGGGGCCCTTCTAGCATGCGCTCAGAGCTAACTCTTACATGATCTGTCCATCTGGGCAATAACTTTCTGCAGGTACCCAGTTCCAAGAAGCGTTAGTATCAAATTATCTATAAAACTGCAGCTGGACACTACAATTTTATGACTTGCAGAGTATAAACTCACCTCTTCTTCGAGCCATCCTTGCTCTCCTGGTTATCCTTATCAAAATCCTCACTCTTGGGGCTTCCATTTTTCGACAAAGGAGACTCAGGTACACCAGAAGTCGCTCCTACATTCTGTGTCTGTCCCATCGACCCACCACATTTCAGAATGAAAAGAGCCCTATCATATGAAGACAATATCCCCTGCACCAGTAAGTCACCTGTTTCAACAGAAGCCGTTGTGCTACATAAATGTGCCCTCAACTGTTTTGCCAGCTCCATCCCCTGAATTAGCACTCTAGTAATATTCTGCTCCCTGCTCCTTCTATTCTCCATTTTGCTCAATCCGCTCGGTCTCAGTAGGAATTAGAGTATTTCTTGTTGAAAGGGCTACAAATTCATAATTTGATGACACTGCTTCTAATTTTACAGATTCTAGACGGCATAAACTTGGTAATCAAGAAGCAGATGCAGATGGGATTGGAAAGACCAGGGTGGAGAAGGGTAAGAAGCTATAACCATGCACCTAATCTGTATGGCTTTTAAGTTATCCGTGTGCACTTCTGCTTCAAGCTAGAGAGAGAGAGTGATGCTTTTGGCTGGTTTAATTAATCAAGAAAAGTGAAGCTTTGGTATTTAAAAGAGGGGGTTTTGGGGTTGGTATGGGATGTGGGAATGTAGAAAATTTGAGGTTTGACCAAGACAAACCGAGTTTTCTGAGTAGACTGGTCTTTGGTCAGAGCAGAGGAAGACTAGAGTGGAGAATGGAGAGTGATGTTGACCAAGTCTCCCTTGAATACAATACGAGATATTTGAGAAAAGGAGCAAAGGAAATCAGCTTTGTATTTTTTTTATTTACAAAATATTAGTTTGATTAGTTTTTTAATAAAAATATTAATTTTTTTATTTTTTATTTAAAAATTAATTAAATAATAATATTAACTT